TCAACAGTGGGAGGGCTTCTACTGTCCTGGCCCCACTGCTGGACCTCCTGATGGCCCCTGGTATTTCTGGCCCCTGTGTGATACAGAGTGTTGGACTGGATGGGCCTTTGGCCTGATCCAACATTGGCTTCTCTTATGTTCTTATCAGAGGGAACTGGATAAACATATGGAGCAGAGGTCCATCAGTGGCCACAAGGGATAGATAGGAACTCTCCATCTGGGGCAAGTGATGCTCTGTATTCTTGGTGCTGGAGGGGGGGCAACAGTGGGAGGGCTTCTAGTGTCCTGGCTTCACTGGTGGACCTCCTGATGGCACCTGGTATTTCTGGCCACTGTGTGACAGAGTGTTGGACTGGATGGGCCACTGGCCTGATCCAGCATTGGCTTCTCTGATGTTCTTATGTTCGTAAGAAGGGGGAGTGAACAAGGCTGCTGAAATGCTCCAACACTTCAATGCGTGTGCCAAAAAAATAAATAAATGCAACCTCCCCCCCCAACAGACGGAACTCCTGAGAAGTCTGAACAGTTCACACTGATGGCGTGATCATCAGAAGCAGCACAGCACTCGCAAAGATACGAAAGGCTGCTGCAGTCTGGAAAAAAACTCTCCCCCAGTGAATCAGTGCTCACTTCTCCAGATGCAAACGAGAGGGCCATCATTTTGCAGACCTCTAAAAGGAAAATCACAGGGGTGGGGAGAGGAGGCTTGGAAATCCATCAGCCTCACAAAGAAACTGGCACAGACGACAGGCGTTATCTGTCTCTCCAAATGCAGGCAATTTTACCCCAACTCCACCTCCATAATTTTCCTTATAAAGGCATGCAAAATGATTTCCCTCCTATTTGCATCTGAAGAAGCGAGCTCCGAGAGCCAGAAGCTCATGCTGGGAGAAATGTCGTAAGGCTTTCCGGTGACCCTGGACTTCTGCTTTACGAAGATGGAGGATACTTTAATGGAAGGAGTCAGACTTGGGCTTCTTCGGCCCCTGCCACACGGGGGAAAAAAAGAACGGCCGAAGTGCGGCTTTTTAAAGCTGCACCAAAAGAGACACGTGGCGGCGGGATCAGATAGATCCCCTGAGCCGCCGCACAGTTGCTCCCCGGCATGATCAGATGCCAGGGGGAAGCCACTGCAGGGAGACCGAGGCAGCCGAACTGCACATGTGTGCGCGTGCACAGTTCGGCCGGGAGCCTCGATTGCTCCTGCAGACGGGTGCGCCGGCGATTTCATGGCCGTACTTGCTGCACCGTTCCAGGTTGGTGCTACCTTTTACTTGGGGTTTTTTTTGCAGCGGGTTTTAGGCCGGAAGGGACGGATCGGGGACGGGTGCATGCCAATTCCCAGATGTTGCGGTGTGCTCGCGCCCGTTTGCTGCGCCCCCGATCCGTCCCTCTTTTGGCCCAAAACCTCCCGTGTGACCAGGGCCATCATGTGGCATGCAAACCCAGGTTTAAACTTCCATTCGAGGCAGACATAATATCGGGAAAAATGCTAGACTGGAAAGTGACCTTCCATCCATGCCAAAGGGGGCACGCTTACTCCCAGTTTTGCCTGATCCCTTGGGGATCAGCAGATCTTCCAGCATTTTTTTAAAGCGACAGGTGAGTGCTGGTACAGTCATCCCTCACTTTGCAAACCCCCCACCTTACAAGCCTTAAAAAAGAGAGAAAAAGTAAAAGAAAACCTTGCCATATTGTAGATCATAGTAGGTGAATTGGGATTATCACAGACACTATCCAATCAGTGCTATGCAATAGGGACCGAATTAGCAGATTCCCCCCAATCTGGATCTTTCCCCCCCTCTTACAGTCTGTTGATGCTCAGACACAACCATTGATTAAAACTCCAGTTGCACTCCCCCATTCTTTACATGACTGAGCTACTACATCAGGAATTCTTGTTACCCTGTGATTTAATCTATTCACCATCGATTTTAAACTATTGATTAAAACTCCAGTCGCATCCCCCCCAATCTTCACACGACTGAACTACTGCATCAGGAATTGTTGCTGCCCCGTGATTTAATCTATTCACAAGTAACAAACAGGCAATTTAAAAAATCTTCTCATTTGGGGGGATAGGGGTGATTTGGTGGATAATGCGATCATTACTACGAGCTCCCGAGATAATAAATAAGGTAGGGGAATTCTTACTGGTCTTTGCTTCTGTGTCTGTCATGATAATTTTGAATGGTCTCAAAGATCGAGACAGCGGGCTAGTCTGCATTATCCTTTCCCTCACTTGCAAGTTCCTGTTTGTTTTTTTTGGGGGGGAGACTCTCTGCTCTGCATGTGTTTTGCGCCCTCTACTGGTCTATTTGATACTATCTCAGTTCATGTCTCGCATAGAAACCCGCAGCTGGAATCTGCAGGGAAATCTGCTAAACATAATCTGGTGTAATACCGAATCGACCACTGGAGGGAGCAAAACACATTCAGACTCCCCTCCCAAGAAACAGGAATTTACAAGCACTGAAAATGAGAATGCGGAAAAGCCCAGTAACGGAGATTCTGCTTGTGCAACAGGTGAGGGAGTGAGTGTTATAGATTTTTCAGGGCTATTTTTGGGCAGGAACGCACAGGAACGGAGTTCCGGCTGGCTTCAGAGTTGGCCACGCCCACTACAGCCAAAACTCCTGCACATGCATGGCTACAGAGGGAAGGCCTGGAGAGCGACACCCCCCCCCCCCCCTGCCCCTGGGCGGGGGCCAAAATACAAAAAAAAAGCCCTGGGTTTTGACAACAAACAAGGTAAACAGAATAAGAAGCAAAAGGTGGGTGTGGCTGGATGACCACACTTCTGGTAACATGGGGGTGTGGCCTAATGTGCTAATGAGCTGTGCTGTCAGGGGTGTGGCCTAATATGCTAATGAGTTTCTACTGTTTGGGTGTGGCCTATTATGCTAATGAGTTCATTCTGAGCTTTTTCTACAAAAAAAGCCCGGGATTTTGTCCTGGTTTCTCCAAATCTTTTAATTAATACATTTTATTTAATGTCTTCTCAAAGCACAATACCACAAATATCGAAGAAGGTTCATAAAAACATAGTTTGTTGGCGGCATGTGGAGAAACATTAAAAAGGCCCTTAAACACATCAACAAAGGTTCTAGCAGTGCAGTCGTCATAACCAGTGTTCCCTCTAAGCTGGGTTAGTGTGAGCTAGCTCACAGTTCTTTAGCCTCCAGCTCACAGATTTTTGTCTCAGCTCAGGAAGGAGGGCTCCAGAGCAAACTAATTTATGCAGGAGCCAAATCGCTCGCTCACAACTTTAATGCCAGTAGCTCACAAAGTAGAATTTTTGCTCACAGGACTCCACAGCTCAGAGGGAGTATTGGTTGTAAGTATTTAAAATTGCTCTTGATATCCAGGCTACCGAAACAGAGAAGCAGCTGGTTGAAAAGACTTGACTGAACTGCACAAACACAGTGACAACCAAAAGCAACGTGCAGGACATGGTAAACTACCTCTGTCCTTTAAAATCTGGCTTCCAGGGAAAAACCAAACAAAAATGAACTACTATGAGTTGAATTGAGAAGGGGGCAAGGGCAGCTGAAATTCTCAACAAAATATCACCGTCCTCTTTCACAGACCACGCAGAGAGGAAAGAACCACAAAGACAACAACAACAACAAAAACAGTCACTAATGACACCAGTAACAATACTATCAAGTTCTAACTTCTAAATTTTTCTACTGGCTGTTATTTCCCCACTGGTATGGCACCCATTTGCCACCCTACCAAACCTGGCAAATCGATGTACTGTTGAAGTTAAAATGTAATTAAGCATCCTTCAAGAAAAACTGTCCTTCACCATTAAAGATATTAATTTCGAAGTCAAGTTTTGTTCAGTTCGACAGATCATGTCCCTTCACCGTTTACCAGTTGGTTTCAAGTTGTCAGGGGGCTGCGGTGGCTCAGTGGTTAAGACGCTGAGCCGCAGACCGGAAGGTCGGTAGTTCAGCAGTTCGAGACCCGAGTGCCGCAAGACGGAGTGAGCTCCTGTCTCTGGCCCCAGCTCCTGCCAACCTAGCAGTTCGAAAGCAAGAAATTGCAAGTAGATAAATAGGTACCGCTTCGGTGGGAAGGTAACAACGTTTCGTGCGCCTTGGCGTCTAGTCATGCCGGCCACATGACTATGGAAATGTCTTCGGACAGCGCTGGCTCTTCGGCTTGGAAACGATGAGCACCGCAACCCTAGAGTTGGATTTGACTGGCTTTCAAGCAAGGGAAACCTTTACCTTTACCTTTTACCTTCAAGTTGTCAATGAACACCCAACCAAGCAATAAGGAACGTGGGATTACTGATCCAAGACAGAGCGGACCTTGACTGATGCCAACACGTTGGTCCAAAGAGCCAGAGGACAAAGCGCAGCAGATTATCTGTTCACAGGGCTATTTTTGGGCAGGAACGCACAGGAACGGAGATCCGGCTGGCTCCTGAGTTGGCCACGCCCCGCAGGAACTCGTTAGCATAACAGGCCACACCCAACGGCAGAAACTCATTAGGATTGGGTACATTAGGGGTGTGTGGCCTAACATGCAAAGGAGTTCCTGTTACAAAAAAAGCCCCTGGGTTTTGACAACAAACAAGGTAAACAGAATAAAAAGGGAAAGGTGGGTGTGGCTGGAAGACCACACTTCTGGTAACATGGGGGTGTGGCCTAATGTGCTAATGAGCGGTGCTGTCAGGGTGTGGCCTAATATGCTAATGAGTTTTGCTGTTGGGTGTGGCCTATTATGCTAATGAGTCCCTGCTGGGCTTTTTCTACAAAAAGAACAAAAAAAGAACAGACTGCTCACATGGGCACATGGATCTATGTTAGCCATCTCCAAGGAGAGAACGGTAACAAAAATCTAGAAATCAAAAATTGACAGAAAGGCAGCTCACTTGGGCTCCCAAAGCACAGGAAGCCCTGTCCCCCATTTAGGGAGAAAGTCAGACAGGGAAACCTTCATAAACATTTGTCATTCCGATGAGAAATCTTAAAGACAGATCTTACCAGCAGAACAAGAATCACTGGTCCTTGATAGATGTAGTCGATGTACTTCCCTGGTTCCTTTCCAAACCAGCATCTGTAAATAGAAAGTCATTTATAAAGCTAATTCAAATCCCATACATCAAGGAAATTACAGCCGGGCCAAGTTGCACCTTCAGGAATTGCATGCAATTACTTTCTAAATGGGGAGTTTCGGTTTTCATCTTAATTATGCACACGCAAGGAAATGGATGGATCTGGTACCCTGCCATCAAACTTGTTTTCTTTAGGTGGGAGCGGTAAGCGGCTGAATTATTATTGTTATTATCATTAATTATCATTTCAGGCGTCGTTTTTCAAAGAGCCATAAAAAGATTTCAACCGTCATGAAAGCCCGAGGAGGGAGGAGGCCGGACTCTTTCTGTATTACGGGGGTCAGTTGCACACACATGAGCCTTATTTCAGGACTGTGGGGACTCACATCTGTCAATCAGCCATCACACGTCAAAATGAAACTTCCTGTTTGAGGGCTTCCTAGAGGCAGCTGGTGGACTCCTGTGGTGAGACAGGATGCTGGACTAGATGGACCTCCACTGGTCTGATCCAGCAGGGCTCTTCTGATGTTCTTTTCAGGGGAAGGCCTGGGCCTCTGTGCCCTGTTGAAGGCCCTCCAGAGGAACTGGCTGGCCACTGTGTGAGGCACAATGCTGGACTAGGTGGGACTCTGATCGGATCCAGCAGGGCTCTTCTGATGTTCTTATCAGGGGAAGGCCTCGGCCTCTGTGCCCTGTTGTTGGCCCTCCAGAGGAACTGGTTGGCCGCTGTCTGAGACAGGATGCTGGACTAGATGGACCACTGGTCTCATCCAGCAGGGCTCTTCTGATGTTCTTATCAGGGGAAGGCCTCGGCCTCCATGCCGTGTTGTTGGCCCTCCAGAGGAACTGGTTGGCCACTGTGTGAGACAGGATGCTGGACTGGATGAACCACTGGTCTCATCCAGCAGGGCTCTTCTGATGTTCTTATCAGGGGAGGCCTCGGCATCTCTGCCCTGTTGTTGGCCTTCCAGAGGATGCTGGACTAGATGGACCTCCACTGGTCTGATCCGGCAGGGCTCTTCTGATATTCTTTCAGGGGAAGGCCTGGGCCTCTGTGCCTTTTGCTGGCTTTCCAGAAGAACTGGTTGGCCACTGTGTGAGACACAATGCTGGACTAGGTGGGACTCTGATCGGATCCATCAGGGCTCTTCTGATGTTCTTATCGGGGAAGGCATCGGCCTCTCTGCCCTGTTGTTGGCCCTCCAGAGGAACTGGTTGGCCGCTGTCTGAGACAGGATGCTGGACTAGATCGACCACTGGGCTGATTCAGCAGGGCTCTTCTTATGCTTTTATCAGGGAAAGGCCTAGGTTTCTATGCCCTGTCATTGGACCTCCAGAGGAACTGGCTGTCCCCTGTGTGAGACATGATGCTGGACTAGATGGGACACTGATCTGATCCAGCAGGGCTCTTCTGATGTTCCCTGGGCAGAACTCCACCTCACACCATTTTTCAGTGAAGCCAGTTTGTACTTTTAGTAGTGAACTACCAAATATTAAAAACTCTCGGGGGAGGGGTTTTTTTTGGCTTTCTGCATTTCCTGTTTGACCTGATCTGCTCAGGCTAGCCTGATCTAAATCGTCGAAGCTAAGTGAGGTCGACCCAGGTTAATACCTGAATGAGAGACCACCAAGGAAATCCAAGGTTGTGACACAGAGTCAGGCAATGGCAAACCACCTCTGTCTGCCTCCTGTTTTGAAAACCCTACGGGGTCACCGCAAGCTCACTGTGACTTGACGGGCACTTTCCATGCCAATGGTCTCCACCTAAACTGACAGTGGGCGGGACCAGCCCGCTCCCACCTACCGGGCCCTCTGGAACATTTGGAATTGTTCTTTAAAAGTGTCTCACGCTGAACGATTCTGGTCCCTCTCATGGTCAGGATATTTTCTTTTTTTATTTATAATTTTTTTTATTTATTTACTTACATACATACACATGGACAAAACCAGAAGGAAAAAAACAACAAGACAAAAAACATATTACATAAGACAGATCCCTCCTCTTTTCATGAGTTGTATTTCTCTATACATGTCTAATTAAAAAATGTTTACAATGATTCACTCTGAGTGCTCGTTTCTATCCATTTATATACATTTGACCATACTTTTTGGAAAACTGAATTCATATTTCCGTGGATTTTTGTGTGTTAAATTATCCATTTGGATTTGTGTGTGTTAAATTATCCATTTCAACCACTTCAATCACTTCGTTAATAAAATCCCATCTATCTGGTGTCTTTTCATTCTTCCAGAACTTAGCCCATACTATTCTTGCTGCTGTCAATAAGTGGATTACCACATATTTTTCCTTCTTTTTCCAGTTTTCAGGTAATATATTTAATAAAAATATTTCAGGATCTGGTGGAATTTGTAAGGTTGTCACTTGTCTTATTAACAGATGTACCTCCTTCCAATATTTTTTTACTGCAGTACACGTCCACCAGGCGTGATAGAAAGAGCCTACCTGGGATTTACATTTCCAACACTTCTTGTAGGTCCCAGGATAAAAGCAGGCTAATCTGTCAGGTGTCAGATACCAGCGATGAAACATCCATGGTCAGGATATTTTCATGGGGAGTGAGCTGATAGGAGCGTTTGCGTTTCTGGCTGGTTTCTTATATCACCGTTCTCACTAGCGTAGGTTCTCCATTTCTGTGGATGCTTCTTACTTTTGCGATTCTGTCTTATCCCCAGCCATACCATGCGTAACTATACTATTTCCCCCGCTGTAAAGAGCATTTCCTCCCAACAATTAACACTGACCCACTGCATAGGCTAATGCTGAATCCACCCTGACCTAGATAGGCCAGGCTAGTCCCATCTCATCAGATCTCGGAAGCTAAGCAGGGTCGGCCCTGGTTAGCACTTGGATGGGAGACCACCACGGAAGACCAGGGTTGCTATGCAGAGGCAGGCAATGGCGAACCACCTCTGAACGACTCTTGCATTGACCTGAATGGCCCAGGCTATTCCGATCTCATCAGGTCTCAGAAGCTAAGCAGGGTCGCCCCTGGTTAGTACTTGGATGGGAGGCCACCAAGGAAGTCCAGGGTTGCTATGCAGAGGAAAGCAATGGCACACCACCTCTGTTTATCTGCCCTGACCTAGATGGCCCAGGCCAGGCCAGGCTCATCAGATCTCGGAAGCTAAGCAGGGTCAGATCTGGTTAGCACTTGGATGGGAGACCTCCGAGGAAGTCCAGGGTTGCTGTGCAGAGGAAAGCAATGGCACACCACCTCTGTTTATCTGCCCTGACCTGGATGGCCCAGGCCAGTCCAGGCTCATCAGATCTCGGAAGCTAAGCAGGGACGGCCCTGGTTAGCACTTGGATGGGAGGCCACCGTGGAAGTCCAAGGTTGCTGTGCAGAGGCAGGCAAGGGCAAACCCTGAAAACTGTGTGGGGTCACTATAAGTGGGCTGCAACTTGATGGCACGTCCCACCGCTGCCAACATGCTTTTGTAGTCAGTCACCCCCCCCCCGCCCGATAGGTGGTGAAAGACTACAGTCTTGTCCCCTGGAGCACACAGAAGCGGATGAATCCCCTGGCTTTACTCACAGTTCATTTTCGTAATAGAGCTTGCAGACAGCCCAAGCGACAATGATTGGAAAAGGAATACCTGCAAGGGGGGGAAATGGGAAAGTCAGGATCATGTCGACACACACCACTTTCCCACGGGGAGGTGTCAGGGTGGAGTCCTAGTCGGGCCCTCCAAGTCAACGGCCCTTCCCTTGCCGACTCCGGACCAATGCTCCCTCTAAGATGTGAGTCCTGTGAGCAAAAATTTTACTTTGCGAGCTCCTGGCATTCAAGTTGTGAGCGAGCGATTTGGCGACTGCATCATTTAGTTTGCTCTGGAGCCCATCCTTCCTGAGCTAAGACAAAAGTGGGTGAGCCGGAGGCTAGAAAACTGTGAGCTGGCTCACACGAACTCAGCTTAGAGGGAACACTTCTCTGGACCACTTCAATGGGCAAAGCAACGGGGCTTCATTCATTCGGGTGGAGGGACTGACGCTCCACCCCGGAATCTCCCGCTGGCCCATATAAGCTGAAGCCTGTTTCAGCAGCTGTCCTCAGCAAGAACATTTCAAGGAGACGTCGCCCAGCTCGTAAGACATCGATCTGAGCATGTTTGTATTCGAATCCAGAGGACGAACTGACCACATTCCTAGTTCTCCACTCTGCCCCAGCTTCTAGCTCTGAGCTTCCCCCAAGATCGGAAGGCCTACTTCCGCTCCCAGTGTGACAAGGGTTGCCAACTTCCAGGTGAGGCCTGGAGATCTCCCAGAATCACAACTGATCTCCACACGACAGAGATCAGTCCCCCTGGAGGAAATAGCTCCTTTGGAGGAGGAGGAGGAGGAGGAGGAGGAAGAAGAGGAAGAAGAAGAAGAGGAAGAAGAAGAGCGGCTTACAAACTCCTCTCCCTTCCCCTCCCCACAACAGACACCCTGTGAGGTAGGTGGGGCTCAGAGAGCTCTGACAGAAACTGCTCTTTTTCAAGGACAGCTCTTATCAGAACTATGGCTTTTCCAAGGTCATCCAGCCAGGTGCAAGTGGAGGAGTGGGGAATCAAACCTGGTTCTCCCAGATTAGAGTCCACGCACTTAACCACTACACCAAACTGAGGTAGGTAGGTAGGCAGGCAGGCAGGCAGGCAGGCAGGCAGGCAGGAAGGAAGGAAGGAAGGAAGGAAGGAAGGGACACCCTGTGATGTAGGTGGGGCTGGGAGAGCTCTCCCGAGGACTGCCCTTGAGAGAACAGCTCTGAGAGAGCTTGTGACTGACCCAAGGTCACACCAGCAGCTGCATGTGGAGGAGTGCGGAATCAAACCGGGTCCTCCCAGATTAGAGTCCGCGCACTCAACCACGACACCCCCTCCCCCAAGCCCTCCCCTCCCTAGGCTCCATCCCCAAGATTCCAGGAGTTTTTCATCCAAAATTGGCAGCCATGTCTCCACCTCTGGAATGACAACCGACCATCAGGCTACAGAGCTCCGTCCCCCTGAAGAAAGCGGCTGTCTTGCATGGCCCGTTTTGCATACTCTGCTGAGGCCCCTCCCCCTGACCTCCAGGAATCTCTCAACCCAGAGTTGACAACCGTGTGACCCTGCCTGCTTCAGCCTCCCCCTTCCCCCCCTTTATAAATTTAACATATAAAACCATACACATGCTACATCAATACAGGATTACCTCCCCAAATAATGACAGTTTTTGTCAGGGGTCATTTCCTGCAGGAGCGCACAGGAGCGGAGCTCCGGCAGTAAAGAGCCCAGGGGGCGGGCACATGCAACAAGCCCCACCCCCTGCTCCCAGCAGCCCTCGGTCAGAGCAAGAAGCAGCCAGGTAAATTGCAGAGCCACCCCCCCCCCCCCGCCGACAGCACCACAGTGGCACCTTTAAGACCGAGTTTTATTCAGGTACAAGCTCTCCCTCCTCTGCGAGGACAGATCTGCACGTCCCCCCCCCCATAGCTAGCAATCCAAAACAGTCCAGTGGAGCCTGAGCGGTGGGTGTTGCCTTCTGACACACTTCCAGTGATTTCAGGGGGTGCGGCATATGCAAATAAGTTATGCTAATGAGTTCCTGCACCTCTTTTTCTACAAAATGATCCCTGCATGGGAGAGATATTTTATATTTCTTCTCCACCTGCTTCAGCCTCCCTGATAACTGAAGCTGTCTGGCTGGCCCAGCAAGACCTCGCTAGCTCCCGCCTCCTTCACTGCTTCCATTCTAGCAGAGTGCACACGGCAAAACGATTCCTTGGGAAGGAACGGGATGCTGAGAAGGGCAACAGAAGCCTTGCCAGATCCCTTTCGAGGACACTCACACCATCCGATGAAGAGAAAGACCCACTTCCTGAGCTTGTCCGTGGAGTAGGTCATCACGATGGCCGTGTGGAGGTAGCAGCCTTCGACAAACATCCAGAAGAAGTTGGTCACCACGAAGTAGTTGAAGATCGTCGTGATGCAGCGACACCAGGGCTGGACGAGGGAGCAAAGGAGATTTGTAGGTAAGGCTGTGGTTCGGACCCATCGCAATGACCGAACCTAATGGAATGGCTGGACAAGAGTGGCGGTTTCTTTTCTTTTTCTTTTTGTAAATTTATTTTCCATTTAGCCAGTCATATAGTATTCCCCATCTTTACCAAAAAGTCTCTTCTGGTTTATTTTTAAAAAACATATTCAGCTTATCCATCTCTGCTATTTCTAGAATTTTATATTTCAATTCTCTTATGGATGGTAAACTCTCTGATTTCCATCTCTTTACTATGAGGATTCTAGCTGCTGTTAAGAGTGGCGGTTTCAAGGACTTCCTCGCAATGCTCCCTCTAAGCTGTGGAGTCTTGTGAGCAAAAATTCGACTTTGTGAGCTCCTGGCATTAAGGTTGTGAGCGAGCGATTTGGCGACTGCGTACCTTAGTTTGCTCTGGAGCCCTCCTTCCTGAGCTGAGACAAAAGCGTGTGAGCCGGAGGTCAAAAACTGTGAGCTGGCTCACACTGACTCAGCTTAGAGGGAACTCTGCTCCCTCAACACACGCAATCAATTTGGATTATTCATTATGTTCTAATCCTGCTCTTCCGCCAAAGATTGCAGGGCAACAGGCACAGTTCCGGCATAGGGTTGCCAATTTCCAGGTGGGGCCT